TTTTCTTTCGAGGCCTTGCTTCATCTCACCAGCACATTTTCTTCACAATCCTGTGAACCGAAAATGAATTTTCGTTTGCCTACAAGGGACACAGTTAGAACTTCTTCAGTTACGCGAAAAGGTGGAAGAAACGGGAAGACCAAAATAAATAAGAAAGAAAAATTTTCTTATATAACTTTGTGTCTGTCTAACGAAAAACCTTCGTAGCGAAAATTGGAAAAGGTGAGTTCGTGGAGGTGAAAATTTGCTCTGCCATAAACTCACGGCAGGAAATTACGCCGTTTCCACAGGCATCATCACACAGGCAGTACTCTTCTGGTGACAGTTGTTGAGAGGGACCCTCCATAAAATTACATCTTTTTTTTGTTTTATTTTAGTTTTAGAAAAATTTGGTTTTTCTCTAAAATATATAACTTTTCCTGAGTTTGAAAGTAAAGGTAAGTATTTTCTTAAGAATAAAATATAGCGGGTGACAAATGGAAAAAAAACGTAATTACTTAAAGAAATAATTATATGAAATAATTTCTTTGTAATCCATGGAAAAGATATACGTTACAATCTTAGTTCAACTATAATGTACTTCGTAAGAAAATTTGTTGGATTGTTGTCACCATTTTTGGCATAGCTGTAAACTTAATACATTTTCAAGTATAGAACTATAATTATAGTGCAAAAAAAGTTATGTAAAAAGACAAAATACGTTTGTTTGAAGGAATTAGTGCTAATATATGTAATAAAAGCATGCACGGAGAAAACAAATTCTCGCAAAATTACAGTACTGTATGGTAATGACATTTCTGGTAAAAAAAAAATCAATACTTCTGGTATAAAAACTAAAATATACAGTATTAAAATTATTCATTTTCCATTATTAAGGTAATATTTTACCAGAAATTCTGTTTTTCAAAATCATAATTTTTATTATCACACATTTTGTAACACATACAAAACAGAAAAGTAAATTTAACCAAATAAATGGTTTTTATACCATACTCTAAGGTTTCATGATAAACTTTCCAAATTTTAACACACTTCATAAAACCAAATTTTATTGTTAATTTTACCAAAATTATTACCACTTCAGTAAAAATTACTCAGCTTTTTGTTGTTTCCAAAGAGCTAGAAATATGACTCATATTACCATATTCTAGTAGTTTGGATCGTATTTTTCGTCTCAGTATGCTTGTTATTTAAGCGAAATGTTTTTGCAGTGAAGCAATTAATTTATTCTAATGAACATGAAAATATGCATTGCCAGCAAGTAAAGTAGCAAAACATCAAAAGGTAAATTTGAAATGGAATGTATATAGTGAAAACGTAAATGAAAATGACGTCGTAAATGACGCGATTATATGCACTGCAAAAAAAATTTTATTTAAATCAAAATAAAAAAAGGCGACAACTATTCCCCAAAATCTTTTATAGTGTTCTTCTTGTGCTGTTGGAGGGACATTGATCTACCTATATAGTGCCCACAATAAAGTGGTTGTTAGATAAGCTAGTACATTAGGCACTACAGGGGGCTTTTTTTCTTTAAAAAAATAAAATGACGAATTATTTCTGTAATGTTGACGACATTCATTTTCTCGAAAAAAGTTCCGTTAATCACTTAGACGAAAGATTTCTCAGAGCATGTACCAGGTTATGATTTCGACAAAAACGACTAAATTTTTGTGATATTTGAGTGTCCATCTATTACATCATAGTAATTACTAATTTGTTATACATAAATATAATTATATTCAATTATTTCGTCAAATTTTCATCATTGCATCTTGTAGCGTCTAATACACCCTAGCTACTATTTCACCTTGGCCCCAGTTAGGCTAATAATTATCTCAGTATGGGTCCTATTTGGGTCCTATATGAGGGACCAATATTAGGGTGTCTAGATTTTTTAATATTGGTCCTATATTGAGCCAATATTGGCATATATAGAGCGCCAATATATGGCATATATTGGCTGAATAATAAATACAAAATAACGGGTTGTTGTTGACGTATGCCTGCTTAGGCAGAGGGGGTGCGATTGTTCTTGTTTTCCAGTGGCGCCATCTATGACCAAGAATTCGACTTGACTTCTGTCCCACCATTCGTCACACCCGTTTATAGGGCGGACCCATTCATACATCCATTCATTCATCCGCAGATCGTAATTTTGACCTGAATCAAAGAACGATCGATTTCCAATCCAGTACTCCCAGAGGTATTGATTTGTTATGGGAACATGGAGGACTTTTGTGACTCGACAGATTTAACGTGCATCAGTCACTTTACTACACGGGGAGTCTTCGGCCGGCAGGGTTCGAACCCACAAACTCTCGGACATGAGCCCAGCGCCCTACCGACCGGGCTATCCCAGCCCTAAAATGACGAGTGAATCTGACAATTCTATATAAGGCCAATAATGGTTGTAAAATGGCTGTAAAATATCGGGTTTAATCGGACTTTTTTATATAAGACCAATATCAGAGAAATAATGGCCTTTTGAGCCCTTATTGAGCCAAGCTTCGTGAATATTTGTCCAATGAGAGCCCAAGTTATATTGCTGCTAGGGCAGTTGGCAACCTGTTTAGATAATTTGGCTTATGCAGAATGTTTTACTGATTAATTTGATGCTTTTAAAATTCTAAAGCTATGAAAACTATTCTTTTACAACTTTCAGAAAAAAATATGTAAATCAGAAATAGATCAAAGTTCAAATATCGGCGTCCATCCAGCTTCAGAACTAATTTTTCTTCTAACACAAACTGAAAAGCATTTTTTTGAAGCTCGATTTGCAAATTTTGTCAGTTTGCGATCCTTCACGGGTCATTTAATCAGTGTTCTTCGAATTTCGAACACCCCATCCACCCTTGTATACAGAACTCTCTTTTGGTCATCAGCATCTATGCTTATATCTCCTTTTTCTCCAACGATCTTAAAAAATTTCAGGCACTATTTCAGCCAGTCATCATAATTCAGGCGTGTTTAGAAAAGGCACATTTTTTTTTGTGTGTGTGTGAAGGAAGATATGGGTCACGTGATGCACTGCGCATTCCTCCACCCCCTTTTCGAATTTTATTTCATTCCTTCTTTTTATTATCTTTTCCTTGTAAAAATCTAAATCTATCTTGTGCATTAAGGATAATGATGCCTTCCTAGACCAACCGTATTTTCTTGACAGATGTTTTTGATAACTTGTTATTTCAACAGCTTTCTTCTGTGAAGAGAAGTTTTTCAGCCTGCTATTATTTGCAGGTTCTCTCCTGTCTTTCTTTTTTTCCTGTTTTTCTTCTTTTTCTTTCATTTTTCTTCTCTTTTTTTTTTTTGTATTCAAGGAAAGATTTTTCTATTCGACACGATAGAGTGGGTGGTACCAAAGAGGTTCTCTATCTCTCAGTTATCTCTGTATCTCCTTCCTTGCTTGCAAAAGCTGCAGCTAGTAATTTAAATGTTGCAAACTTTTTCCAGAGAAGGAGTTTTCGTAAATGCTTCCAGGCTTGAGAAAAAAAAGAATCTTTTCGTTCGCTTGTGTAGCTTCACTGACAAGTCAAGAACACAAGCAAAGCACTTACGGCGACTTTCATTTCAATGTATTTAAAATAAATGCAAAAGAAAAGTATACTTTTCGTAAACCAATTATATGGAAGCAATTGCTTTTCGAATTTCATATGGTAAAGTGCAAAGACAACTGTAAATAGTGCAAAGAAACAAAAAACCCATAGCAATAAAACGAAAAAATAAGCTCTATTCAGTGTACAACAAAGGAACATTTATTGCTAAATTAATACCAATTCAGACCACCACCAAGTATCTTATTTAGAGCTAACCTAAGCACTCAGTATAAGAAATTTTACCTTTAGATTACGGTCAGCGACCGGAAAAGAGAGTTCAAGATAGTGACCATAAAAATAAATTTATGTCATTAAAGTTTCAGGGCCATAATAACACAGACCTGCCTGTAATTATCTGTCGCCTAGTAAAATATAGGGCCACTGACCGTAAATTAACGCTATGCTAGAATTAGTTCGCTACAGCTAGGACCTCGGCGTTCTATTAAACTGAGATGATATATTTGTCACATAATGGTGAAACAAGGAACGAGATGAAATTAGTGCTACATCTGCTAAAGGACGAGAATATTGTGTATTTCTGTACGTATTCACCAATGTAGAGGGACTGCGCGAAAAAAAGTTCTGGGTTCGAACCCGGGATCTTTGTGTCCGAAGTTTGATGCCATCCTAAAATTAAGGATGTGCATTTTTAAATTGAGTTAGGAAGTTTCGTATAATAACCCTTTGAGGCAGTGTTTCCCAAACTTATGACTTTAGCGCACCCTTTCTAAATTTTTCGTAATGCTGTGTACCACTAATAAAAAAATGAATAGATTTTTTACTATAAAAAAATTGCACAAAAGTTAAACATCACAACTGACTGTTGACATCACTAATTACTAGCTGTTAAGTCAGCAAAAAATGGCCATTAGAACGGCCATTTTCGTGGCTCGATTTGTATTTAAATAAAAAAGTTTGAAATTTTCGTTTGTTGCAAGATATTTTGCATGATTACGCGTACCCAAGCTAAACTGTTCCCGTACCTCTGAGGGTGCGCGTACCGCACTTTGGGAAATACTGCTTTAAGGTAATGGTCAACTCTACCAATTTTTCACATGTTTATTACAAATACTGGCACTTAGTTTATTTGTCAACAAAGGAAGCTGGCCGTATAAATTAATGACCAACTTTCTGAAATTTATGTAAATTTCTTAGAAGCCTGGATAATTATTTCAATATTAAGTGCTCACTAAATCAGAGTTTCAAAATTTGCAAACAAGATTTGAAACAATGCAGATACTTTAATAGACAATAATGAGAAGTATTAAAGGTAAAAGTAGCATTTAGTTTCATTCCAAGCCATGTCCATAACTTCATCAATCTACTTTTTTTACTATTCATTTTAGTAAGATCTTTCCAGAAAAAATATCCTTAATAATATTTTATTATTCTTTTTACAGTTTGAAAAGAAAATGGAGGATATCACGTGTTTGAAGAATGTTGTCTCCAACAAGAGCAGGAAAATTAGGTCTTGTATACATGATAATATGGAATTGCTCTTTGATTATTTAGAAAAGGTAATCATATGTAGGTAAAGGTATATAATTTAATAAGATATGTACAGGGAAGCTTTTATTACAGCTTCATTCCTTCATCAACTATAATAAGAATATTATTTAACTAAAAGTTCCTAAAATTTTCATTGAATGAAATTATAGATATAGTTCCTGATTTGATCAAAGTGAAATTTAAACCTGAACATTTTGCTCTACTATATTTTAACTTCCTCCACAAACATTATTTTTTTAATTTTAATTATAGAAGGGAAAAGAACTTGTTAAATAAAAATATTTTTAGTTCCATCGTATCATTTAAATTTAATTTGTTTAAAGAAATCAAATTAAGAAAAAAAATTAAATGATCTGCTTAAGATTAGCCTTTATTATGTAGATTAGAAAACATATTACTGTCAATATTGTTTTTTACAATATTTATCAATGAGTTTCTTTCACTAAAGTATTTTCATACCTTCAAGAAAATTTGTATAATTGCAATAAAGGAACACAATTTAATCATACGTTTACAAAATCGAGATATTACTCTTTTTCTTTTGATCGAAAGCAATTGTTGGTCGATGTTGTTTACAACTTAGAACGTAAATTTTAGTAATTAATTAATTGAAATTTATTAAATGAATATTTTTTAAAAGTTCACTTGAAACATTATAAAATTACGTGTTAGAAATGCTACATAACTTTTTAAAAAGTTAAAAATAATTTTTTCAGTCTTTTTCATTTCATTTCAAATTTGTTTTAGTTTTAACAATCTCTTTTAAATCTGTATTGACTTTCAATTCAAACTTTAAAACTCATTAAAAACAAACCTTTTAGTACACTAAACAGAACTCAAATAAATATTTGTAAAGCTTAAAATGTTGCACTCATTTTAAAAATTATGTAGGAAATTAGTAGATCTATTTTTTGCAATTAATCTTAACATAAAACTATGAGTAATAACTTGGATAAATTTAGCATCCAAATATATTTACCCCAACACTCATATTGAAAAATGTTATGCCTCCTTTATCACAAAAATTCCTTAAAAACCAAACGTTCACCTTTATGTAAGAATATGCTCCTGCACATGGAGCCAGATGAACTCAAGAATAGTGCAAGGCTCTTAACAAGACTTGCAAGCCACTTTACCAATTACCTTTATCAATGACCACATTATTAAATTTCCCACCCTTTCATTGCGGCCTCTGATTTGTCTTTCTTTCTCCTTTAATTTGACAAGGATTCCAAAAATATACATGAAGGGTAGTCTTTACAGAACACTCGATTTTGTTTCTGACGGAAACAGGATGTAATAGCTAATGAGATATTTTGACAGAAATGGGATGCAAATGGGATCTTACAAGGAAAACTAGGGAAGTGTGACTCGCCAATTTTGAAATAAACTAGTGGGATGTATGCCTTATGAGGAATAATTTTAGGGGGAAACATTCGTTTCGGCCCATAGAAGGTTCTGTGAGAGATAAAAAATAATTCAATATATAGAAAAATCGGTATTTTATTACTTTAATGCAGACTATTAGTTATTGTAATTGTCTCCTACTCCAATTAATTTTGTGGTACTTTCACGTACTATATAATTCATATTTATTGTCAAAATTGATTTCGAAAATTTTATATATCTGTAGTTTTTCAGAAAAATCTGTTAGATTAATTTTAAAAAAAATTGACATCAAATTTTTTAAATTTTTTTTTCAAAAAACTTTCCAAATTAATTGGAGTATGTAATTGCAAATCAATTAATTAATTAATTAACAATTTATTAATAATTAATTATTTTTCTGATTAATTTATCAATTAGCAAATTAATTAATTATCCAATTAATTACAAATTAATTAGATTATGAGACAATTACAATAACTAATAGTCTGCGTTGAAGTGATAAAATACCGATTTTTCTATATATTGAATTATTTTTTATCTCTCACAGAACCTTCTATGGGCCGAAACGAATGTTGCCCCCTAAAATTATTCCTCATAAGGCATACATCCCACTAGTTTATTTCAAAATTGGCGAGTCACACTTCCCTAGTTTCCCTTGTTAGTGACAAGGTTTTGTGCTAAAACTTTTAAGATTCAGGTAACCTTAAGATATACTTTGGGCATGCAATGAAGCGAAATAGGTCATTTGAGGCTGATAGCAGAAAAGTTTGAATCTTGTTTACAGTTTTATATTATGGTCGAATGTGACAGCTATCAAAATTTGAAAATATGTCATAAGTAGTATTGTTTTAATGTTTTTTTTTTCTTTTTTTCAGTTTGGTTATAATATTTTGATAAATATTATGATTTTGTATAGTGTTTTTTTCTTGTCAGTTGATGCACTTTTATTTTTTTATCAGCTGCTTTGCTTTTGTTTGTAAATTTGCTTGTGAAAGTTAAATAATTGATTTTTTTTTTATATGTTTTGAGGAATAAAAGCTAAAAAATAATAAAAAACTATATTTTTCTGTTTATTTATTTGTAATTTTTGCCATAATACAAATTTAAAAAAGAAAATAGTTAAATGTGTTTAAAAACTTTTTATATAATATAGTTCAGAGAAAAATTTGAATTTAAAATAATTTTTTTTCCTGATATATTTTATTGTCTACTTAAAAGACTGAGAAGACAAATTTCAACTATACCTTTTTATATTTCTCTTTAAAACGAATACTTTAACGATAAGGTTCGAAGCTTTGTCGTAATACATGTTCTAATAAAGTACCATCGTACAAACGAAAAAAAGAAATGAATGACTAAGCTATGTTTCTGGAGAATTCCTCCAATTCTCATATTTTTAAATAACGAGCCCTGCCAATAGGAGCAAAAAATATAAAACAAAAAAAATGCAGTTTTAAAAAGGCACAAGCAAGGGGCCGTAAGAAATAGATCAGAGTGTACGACATGCCAATACGAGGTATTTGGCGTAAAAAAATAAGATTTTGGCTGTTTTTCTACCCTCCCTGCCTCACATTATCGTTAGATACCAAGGGCTGAAATAAATTCTCATTTTTATAGTCGCTTTGGGATATCTAAAAACCAGGATCTGAAATATCGAAAAATTGCCTCGCTGTGCGAAAAGTAATGTTTTAAAATTATTTCTTCTTGTTTTTCACGCCTTGCTTTTCAGCTTCCTATTTATTATTTTTTTATTTCAGTGAAATAAAATGGTTTCGGATTACACGCCATGCTGAATAACGACTAAGTTTTTTTCTAAAAAAAGTTATAAAGAATTGAGGATTTCAGAATTTTAATGTTCGAAAAATTCTTTTATCTTCTATTAAGCACATAAGAACACATACAGAAGAATTTTGGCGAAAAATATTGCTCTATACCTTCATATAATATTTTTAGAGATAAATGCTCAGAATTAAATACTGTAGAATGTTTGGAAGGACTTGCAGCTAATTTTTAAAAGAAGTGAAAATAACGAATTTTAAAGTTCAATAATAGCTATTTTTTATTAAGGAAAATAAAAGATAATTCTTAATTAAAAAATATTTTATGACAACATGAAAAAGGGGTACATAATAATTTTTTTATACTTAAAATTTTAATTGATAATTAAATACTGGTTAACGCCACTACAAAAAAAATCCATCATACCATGTTGGATTTGCTATGTTGGTTCAACATTAAAATCCATCATACTATGTTGGGTTTGCAATGTTAGCTCAACATTAAAACCCATCATACTATGTTGTGTATGCTTTGTTGGCCTAACATAAAAACCGATCATACCATGTTGGTATGCTATGTTGGCCCAACATAAGAACTCATCATACCATGTTGGGTATGTTATGTTGGCCCAACTTAAAACAGATGGCAATTCCTAAATAGGGATGTTGGGTAGATTTGATGGTCCCCATCAAGATATATGTTGGTCTTTGATGGAGTTCAAGATGGTAACCATCATATTTATGTTGATCCATCAAAGGAAAACCATCAAGATTTTTTACCTTGGGACATTATACAAGATAATCAATAACTACTAAATTTCAAAATAAGAGGAATAAATAGAGGAAATCAGAATTTTAATACTGTTAACAGTTTTTTTTTCTTCTATTACGAACTTATATAGTACAGGGTATTTTAGCCAATGTATCATTGTTCTTCTTCATACAAAAAGTGTATATATAATAATATTTTTTTGTAAAACATGCTTGTTTTTTATAAAATTGTTGTATTACGTAATACATAAAATATTGGCAAAGTTTTAGCAAAGATAATTAGTTGTGCCAGAATTTTGATATCTAAAAAAATTATTTTCATCTTCTAATAATTATATATTAAAATCAGAAATATCACCATTTTTATTAAAAAATATTTCAAACATGCATAAAGTCACTTAAGTGTTCATAATGATTTTTTTCGTAATTAAATGCCTATTATTTGTGAGTGCAATTCACATTGAAATAAAATATATAATAATCTACTCATAATTTTATGAACAATGAAGAGTACACATAATTATTACTTCATATCCTGTGGATTCTGAGATTTTAAAGTTCAAAAATTTTTTATCTTCCATGACCTACAGTATACAAATATAATTTTGACAGTTTTGCAAAAGGCAGTTTTTGAACATAAGTCATTAAGCATTACATTTTTAAAAAAATGAGGATATTTATTGTTTTGTATTACTTACCCCATTTATTAACTGATTACTAGGGAAGAAATATTTATGAATTCAAAATTTTTGCATTCAACAATATTTTCTATGTTCATTATAGTTTTCATGTTTCAAAAAAGCTTTGAGACATGAATTTATAAAAATTGTGGATAAATATCATATTTAGGAAGTTAGGATTGCTACTTTATGTAATGATTACATATCATACTGAAAGAAATTTATATTTACCAGGACAAATGCAGATTTACATTTAGTGTATTTTGCCACGTAATGGAAAATTATGAAAATTTTAATTCTTCATTTTCGAGTTTTTGCAGAATTTATCTTTTTTTTTCTTATAACACTTTTCCACCAATCAAACTCAGGCATTTATAAACATAATAAATA